AATTCTTTTATTCTTTGTCTAAAGTTTGTGCTGCTTTACAAAAGTACGCCTCGATACCTTCATTCATACATAGTAAATCGTTACTACCTTTAAGCGGTGCTCTGAAATCTGTGTTCGCTGATTAAATCTCCACTCTTTTTACTATTAAGATGTTTATTTAAAAAGAATACGGGGTCTTTTTAGTATTTAAAAAACGTTAATTCTTGCATGAACTGGGTTAGCTTTCTATTTTTAACTCAGAATCAAATAAGTTTCTTTTGTGTAAATATATATTTAGTAATATAGCCATTATATATAATACAGTATAAAATTTTGACTTTAAAAGCATTAATGAGACCCAAGTTTGTTTATTCTAATATTAGGTTACATATGGAATCGCTTGCGATGTGCATCCTTTTATTTTCTTACAACTCAGACAATCGAACGTTAGTAAAATGTCGAGTACAAAATACTAATTTTATTTTTTTTTGTTAATTGAATTGCATTCCTTAATATGATTTAAATTATTTCTTGAAAAATATCTCCATATTTAATGAGCATGTCCTATATAATAACTGGAATTGAGAAAACAATTGTAATATAAAAACATTTAGAGAAGGAAACAAAATTCAACCAAATCCAATTTATCTATAAACATTTAGATTTTAAAATCCTCCTTACAGCTACAGTTATTATCACAGTTATCATTTATTCTTTATAAGTTTCTGTTATTTTCTTATTTATATTAATCGTAGGCGTCAGACCGTGGAGAATACTAGACTTTGACCCTATCGAATATGCAAATGGCAAAAATTTATTGAGTTGCTTAATGCGTTAAAAATATACTTTTATATTGTATAAATTTCCTTTACCGTTTTTGTATAAAAGCACCATCGGGAGTATGTATATAATTTTGGAGATTTAAAGTTTCAAATAAATAGAAAACTCGATATAAATTAATATTAATATTTTCTTAAGTTTTATATTTTTTAAATGTACTAATAGAATAGTTCCTTTTTAATTACACATTTAAACAATACCTTAATTTTATAAAAAAAAAAATCTCTTTCACCGGTCTCATAGAGAAATTTGTAACAGGAAAATGTATTGCAGTAATTCCAGACAGTAGAAACCGTCTCCGCTATGAATTTCTGCTTCAAGCAAAAACGACATTTGATATAGTTTTTTTGTTCTTATACTTTTTTGTGTGACGAACTACTTCGGCTTCACGCAGGTTTGATACACAAAAACCAAGCGTCAATGAAGCACTGATTTCCTTTACTTTTGTTTGACTTTAATATCCTTCCACTAACTTTAGAAAACTTACCAAAAAATTTATTATAAATAGTAAGAACTAAGATTTTTTATTAAAGATTTTTTTTTATGAATTCATCTTTTAAATACAAAAATGAGAATTAGAATAAGTGAAGTATGTAATAAAATCTTTTATGCCTCAAAATCGTTTATTTCAAAAGAGTTGTTATTTTAATCTACTTATGTCATAAAAGGATTGATTATTACTTTTTCACTATGAGAGTTCAAGAAAATACGTTAAAGTAATATAGGGACATTTCACTTTTCTTATAGATACGAGGCTATATTCTGTTAGTTTTGCTTATCTGATGAATTGCAGAAGAGGAAATGCAGACTCTATTATTTATTATTTCTAGTACAGTTTAACTGTTGCATAACCAGATCGCTATATCATTATATTTTTATATGATCAAAAGATTCCTATATAATGGGAGATATCACAGTATCAATGTTTTCTAAGTTACAAATCCCACGTCTCGATGTTTCCCAGAAGTAAGCTGACTTTGCAAACCTCGGATGATGCCACCCATAGTGATAATTTTTACTCAGTCACAATTTTATTAAATATTATTATTGTTATACTTCTCTTAACAAATCCCATACTTGCAACTAATAAACATTTTTGCTACCTACATCAGCTAGTATGTGTTAAGTATCTTAAATATCAAATAATTTAAACCTAGATTACGATTATTAACTAATTCTATTAGTTTTTATACAAAGGAGCAGAATCCTTGCAAAAAAGAAAAAAAATTGCATAGTCACAATATATATAAAGAGTTTTTAATTTTTTATATTTTTTTCACACATTACCAAAGTAGGTTTAAAGGTACTGGCTATATAAGTATATATATAAATACATACACATATATAATATACCTATGGAAATTCGAATATAACGGATAATTTTTTAATTGAAATTTGTTTGCGAGATTTTGCATGAAAAAGCATTATGAGTTCTTATATCTATAAAAAAATATTTATACAATGTTTAGTCCGGTGCTCGATGTCTTGTAACTTAGATATTTCACTTAACTTGACTTAGATATTTCAGATTCAATAACGCCAGACCTCTCATGAGGACGAGACATTAAAAGTTTATTATTTAGATGGCTTGGTTTAGAAAATTCTGTAGATATAAAAAAAATATTTACAATTAATCGAATGTCATGGACAAAATTCATATGAAAAATATATTATCTTATATTATATATGGCATAAAAATTATAATACGATGAGATCTGAGGCTTTCGCAAGTATTCATTTAAGAATAATATGATATTTATTTTGAAATAGAACTTCATTAACATTAAAGTTGATGTTATATTTTACATTTTTAATTTTTTAATCATATATTTTAGTGTAGTAAAATCTTTTACTTTATTTTGTTTTTATTGTAAATAATAAGTTTTAATTCGAGGAATTGGTAATGATTTAAATGTTTAATTATAAGATTGCTATTTCATTGTTATATTTTTATTAGTAGCATTTGATATCTAAGATATTTGAGATATATTTCCTGAATGACTAATCTTTAACAACCATCAATAGGAGAATATTTTGAACAGATTAATCTTATTATTTGCAACGCAGACATCAAGTCGCTTCTTATAAATTAACTACGATTCATTCAAAGGCTGAAAATTTCAAGTATTTTGAACCTTCGCAGGACAAAGCCCCGGCTAAGGGCTATGACCTAATAGTCGCTGTTTGGAGAGTGCATGAACTTTGTCATTTTAAAACTTAGAAAGTTTAGATGAGATAATTTTGGTCACTTTTAGTTATTTTATTATATAAAAATGTTGTTATGATTAAGATTCTTATAATATAAGGGTAAAGTTTTTTTTTAATAATATTAATTAGTACATAATATAAAACAAAAAGTTGTGCTGTATACTGATAATTTTATATAAATTTTATATTTCTTATTACATATATTTCCAATAAAAAAACGTTACTAACAAAAGCAACGGTACTCCTAATAACAATTGTGTAAGCGTAAAAATTAGACAAAAGAGAGATGTGGAGATTTTCAAGTCTATACAATATTATAATGGAATCCAATAAACAAACATATCATATGAAGAATAAGCTAGAGAAATAAAATCAAAACTTAAAGCGTATAGAAAATAATCATAATAAAGTTTACGAGTCACTAAAATTAATGTACGTATATTATTTCATAAAAGTAACGATTATAATGTTTTCGATACAACGAGTGTGTTGAATGTTTTAATAGAAACACAACACCGTACAACTGTCATACTTTATGTAATTTTCTTAGAAATGTTTTTGCTTGCACCTAATAATGTGAAATAAATTTAAGCTAAAACAACATTTTAGGACGTTTAACACACGAAGTTACTTTTATTGTGATATATGGAATTATTTTTAATATCTATAATATAACTGCAATTTATATAATTTCTAGGAATATAAAATAGGTTGTTTACATATTTATAAATACTAAATTTACATGCACGTGACTAATTCTATTTAGTGAATTAATTGAATTATAATAAGAATATTGATACTCGGTATTGTTAAACTTATTATGAAAACTTGTCTTCTATTCGGCGCTATAGTTTAAGACACGTACAGAGTAAGCATGCATTTAACAATATACCAAAAAGGACTTACAAACATTATCATCTTTCTGAGACAATAAGTGAAATACACTACCAATAATAACGTACCGTTTAGGTGTAAATTATTTAATTATATATAAATAATGATAATAGTGTTAGTAAAAACGTATACTAAGTAAGCCATATGGTTTTTTTTATAAGCACCAATTATTTCTTTACAATAGAAAACTGGAATGGTGGGTACTTTTTTCTCCAACATTTGTATGTCTAAAACAAGATCACAATGTGTTGATACTGCACTTTAAACATGAGTTACTTTGTTGTACAGCCATATACCCAGTTAAATTATCCATCAAATGACAATTAGGTGACAATTTTATGGAACAAAGCCCTCCCTTAGACGCATTTGTTTTATTAATTGTAGTTGTAAGGTGCTATTCAATAAAGAAACTTGTTTGAAAAATATTTACGCATACTAACCAACAAATTTGTCTGTTGAAATTGTATTTACCGTTCATAAAACTCCCCAAAATAAGTTAGTTTTTAATAGCTGAATTTTACATATTAGTTTTATGAAATTGTAATTTGAAAACCATTGTCTTAATCTCCGTGACATTATAATTACACTAACAGTATTAAACTTCATAACAAAATGCTCATATAAAATACTTTTTTATAATTAATGAGATTATTTCTTTAATTTTCATACAATAGCTTCTTTATTCACACAAATAAATCTCTGTTCTTTGTTCTTGTAGTGTCGATACACTCTCACTTCGCCAATTCGGAGAATATATTTCTATAAAAACTTTATCACCTCAACGTTTCAATGAATGTTTTAGAGTTTGTTCCCAAAAATTAAATTTTACAGAGTAAATACTTTTTTTGAATAACATTTAATCGAATTACAAAAGGTTTTGGAGTTATATTACGAAACTATTTTAAATGTTGGTTGTTTGCTACATGTAAAATTTATATAGAAAACAATTGCAAAAGTACATTGCATCTTTTGAATATGAAAATTTTATTATAACTTGTTACAGTTTAATATTTTCCAAACAAACGTGTTTATAATAAAATTCGTTCAAAGTAAAAGTCGTGACAATAGATTGATATCTGATGGAGCTCGATCGTAATAGACGGCTGGTTGGTCGCGGCGATGTCCACGTCGAGGACGCAAGGGCGCCGTGCGTCTTGCCGAAATTATTCGGGGCTCGCTGCACAATCGATTTTTCCCACCCGATGCGGAAAATTCTTCGGGGCGGAGCGGGTGGTCTAGCGGGGAGGGGTGGCGGAGGGGGAGCTCGGTGTGCGGCTGAGGGGGGGGGTGCGGGTGTGCGAGGTGGTCGGGAGGAGTGCAGCGGGGGGCGGTGCAACGCGCGCCGCCGTCAGCCGTCGCGGTCGTCGGGCAGACAGTAGGACGGCGACGGCACTGCGAGTCGGTGACCAAGGCGCTAAGAGCGCGCTCGCCGCACCGTGACATGTAGCGCGGCCGTCGCGCCGCAGCCTCGCGACCACACCGGTGGCGGCGCGCCGATGCGCCAGCCGCCCGGCACGACGCCCGCGCCGATAACACACGACACTAAACCACTGTTACCGAGGCGAGCCCTTCTACCCGTCTGTAGCGACGACCGTCGGATGGAACCCGGATTGCGCCGATTCGCAAGGTTAGACGAATATTTGAATGTGAGTGTTTGTGCGCCGCCCGCCGTCGAACCTGAGCGCCCTAGCGCAACCTCGCACTTCAGCCGTACGCGCACTCCGCACACCGTTATTTTATAGGTAGGTCCGACTTGCTAGCAGGACAACTAACCGACCCTACGGGTAAGCTTACGGCTTCAGGCTCACATATAAAAGTGCTGTTTCAAAATTTCCAATGACACACATTTTTATAAAACTTGAAATTCACAGCTTTATTAATTTTCCATGATAATTTTCTTACACTTTTATTACTATAGTTAGTGACAATTTATTTATTAGTGCATACAAATTATCTTATCATAATATTAGACATTCCTAAACTAGTTATACCCATAACGATCTCGTTGTATTAAAGTGCACTCCACATAAGATTCCTCTACGCCGGTAGTGACCACATTCACATTCACAATTAGAGGCAGATGTCCCAAAATTCAGTACTGATCATTCGTAGACACTTAACGTACAAATGTTGATTTATAACAAATATATAAAATATGTTTCAAATATAAGGTAACCTATATAAAGTACTTTCTTTTGCTTATATAATACTTTGTATAATATTTTGACTTTTTGTTCAGACATTAATTATGTTACGACAAACAGTTTTATTTCAAGGCGCCAATACTTTTTTCTTATAATAACATGTGTCATGATTAGAAGTTTAAAGCTGAGATAAACATTTTATGGATTCGTAGTCATCTATCTATATGCTTGAATTTTTCTTCTATAATTTCAAGTCTGTAAGTCAATGCTGGGTTTTTAATTATCTTTCCTATTATGTAACTGTTGCATGGTTTTAAAAAAAGTTAGTATACTCACTAAATACTTGTGTCACTTTTTCTGAGTGGTAGTAACGTTGAATTTTCCTGTTTTTTTCCATCTTAAATTTCACTATTCAATATATCTGTTCATCTCTATTAACAGCTATTTAGTTTTTTATTTCATTTGACATACAATGCATTTAGTCTTTTATATAATTACGTTACTAGTTCATATTGTAGCTTCATTTAGAAACAAAAGCTAATGTTTGTTGCACTAGCAATTTCATAACTTCCTTAATATTTTAGAGAATATGAATATAAATTACAAATTATAATAAGACTATTTAAATATTCGCAGACTAAAAAAATATGCATAATGACATGCAAAGTAGCTAATAACCTTACCGTCTCAATAGTAGTTTTTAAATTGTTTCGTCTGCGATGACTGCATATAGACGAATAAATATAATAAAAGATTTAAATCTTTGCATGAAATAGTTTTACTTTTTTATTTCCATGTAAAGTTTACTTCATAACTTATATTAATTCAAGTATTCAACACTTTATTGTCGTTTGGTTAATTAAATAATCAGATTTTTTGCACAAAGCTTAATTGCATACGAAATGGTTTATTTAAAATGAACCTTCTAATAAATTTGTTATATTTAAAAGACCAGGGTTAAAGATAATGTTCTGCGTATGCCTTTACCACTGTCTATTAAAAGTGCAAAAATGTACAAAGTTTTAAGAGATATAAATTTATAAATTAAGATAATTATTAAATAAGAACGTAGAATTTTATTTTCGGTAAAGAACATAAACTACAATAATTCATGTGAATCAGATCATACTTGTACAGAACTTAACAGACGCTGTTAAAGTTTTGATAAGCGTCAACTTTAAGGCTTGACGTTCTTGGTTTGTTTTAACATAATAATAATACATCTTTATTGTAGTAAATTTAATATAGTATACGTTATATTAGTAATTGATTTTGAAAATTGGATCCATCCATCGCTTCAAATTCAAAAGCTCCCATCGAACTAGGTCGAGGCTCATACCAAGAATCGTGCCACAACCACCATAACTCATTATTGACTTTCATTTCATACTTTTGTCTAACATCTTTGCTTTTATGTTTTTATTATTCTGATAGATTATCTTATCATTCTGTATATTTATATCTCATAAGCTATCTCATTGTTTATGAAACATCGTATTTTAAAATGATTCTCGATGAAAGTATGTTTAAAAATAACTGATATTTATATGAATAATATTCAGTCAGGATTTAAATATATTTTCCACGTTACTGTTCATACAAATGCCATACAGTTTGGGCTTTGATGTTGCACTTTTTGTAATTGCGCCTCCCAGGTCACTTGGAAATGCTGTCTAAGAGAATCAGGTCAATGAAAATCCTGTATCATATTAGAGAAGCCGATAAAAATAAAATTGAATGAATTATTTTTATTTCGATTACGAAACCGCGAAAGGATATTAATATTGTAATGGATACAAAAAATGATAATGAACATCAACCAAGGGTAGAGATAAGGGGATTACATAAAACTGATTATTTCGTTTTTTCTTGACCTACCTCATTTAATCAACACACCGAATGATAAGAGATGCTAAGAGTCGCGCTATTTAATATGAATATTAATAAATATTTTTGATATTTCTTTCAATAAATCAATCGCCAGGATTACAGTTTTAGATAAAACTAAAAGTTGTCATTTTTTATATACTAAATGGACATATATGTAATTACTTAATTGTTAATATAGTTTAATGTAGGTAAACGAACATAGTACTGTCAATAGAATAACTAGCATAACATCATTAAGTAGTTTACGATCTAGATAAATCTAATGAGATATGTTTATCTGATTGTTGAATATTTCTTAAATATGTTGTTTATCATATATTCTAAAGCTTTATAAAATGGCTCAACTAAAAATTACTGTGATGCCTCTATCCAGTTTTCTCCTGTTTCAAGCTTCACTTAGCTTACAACAGCTCGGGTTAAGTTCACAGATGACACAGTTTTCCGACTAGTACTATGTTTTTATTCACGACAATCTTGACACTTATATATGTATATATATACTATACATATATGTACCTGTATATAGATATATTATCTCAAAACGGATAACGAATTGATATTGTAGGCAATTTCAAGGTTATCAGATACGTACATATTGTTGTAAAAAATATTCAAACATACCAAATTCAAGTACACTTGTCGCTTTTGGTAAATAAATTATTGAAGCGATTACAAGTTCAAAAAAAAAACGTTTCGCGAATTTAATATATTTTATAACATTGAAAGAGTTGTTTGAATTTAAGCTTTTATTTAATTTTTTTATGAAATTAGTGTATTTATTTTTTCTATGTTTATTTTTTTACTGCCATTAAGAATTGTTGGATACGATGCTAGGTCATAACGTAAGAGCAAGCGAAGCTCTTTCCAACGTTGTGGACATACATTTCAAGTAATTTGTTATGTTAAACTGACTTATAATGAATATTTTGTTTTGGAATTGCTTTATTTGTAAGAAACTATCGTCTTTATATGCAGTTTCATGTTATCGCTGTGTTACAACAAATATTTTATTTATTTATCAAGAAGAAAATATGTTATGGCGTTCTTGTTGTACTGTTAACTGGACTTTATTGGAACCGTTTTAATCCAAGATAAAATTAAACGATCTTCTCAGTAATAATTAATTGTTTTTGAAAAATTTTCTAAAATGGTCACCGGCATTATTTGACCGTCTCAGGTACGGGAGGCTAGTTTTTATGTAGTTAACGAATATTGCCAAAAATAAATAATTTAAAACTCAAAATTATCAATAACGGAAACCACAGTAAATCAAGCTTGCGGTTGGTGATGTCAAAATCAATTAAAAATCAATCTGCTTTAAGCTGTATCCTTTAAAAAAATAACTGCAGAGTCATTTGGTTCCAACGTATGGTACGGGATTAGTTGAACTTATTTTTACAACGTGTAATAAATTTTTCACTATATTAATTACAATGATTTGTATGTGCGAATTATATTTAATCTGAGTAACTAAAGACCATTAAAAAATTAATATTAACAGTAAAATAATATGTATTTTTTTATATTTAAAATCTTATATATATTTTTTTACGACAGTATAACTGATTCAAGCAAGAATTTCTTTTTGGTTGGGTTGACTCTCCTGAATTAATGTTCTAAAACTACTCTCATACCGTTTTTAATTCATGTAAATTCTATATTTATTTCATTATAATGACTTAATCGAATCTACGTTAAAACTAAGTGCCTTTTAAACATTTAAATTTGTCCAATACGGAAATGTTAAAATAAAGTTAGTTTTAACTACATACCTTTAACCAGTACTACCAAAAACAGCAATTTGTCATACAAATATTAACAGGTTCATTTATAATTAATGTATTTTATTCAAAAGACATTTAATTTTTTACTATATATATTAATAAATCTAATATATGTAGGTATAAAAGCTTTTTATTTTTAATTAATAGTCCGCATTAGTTTACAAAGACTACTAAGAAATCACATAAAAGAAACAATAGCTACAAATATAGACAGGTTTACACAAAAGTCAAGCAAAAAAAGTTTTAAAATTTAATGAATACTAAATAATTTTTAAATGTCCTTAGTTTTGAAACCAGAAACGGCCATTATATCTCTATTTCAATTTTAAATGCAAGTTATATCGTGACTAATCTTCTAGCGTACAAGCGCAATAACTAAAGAAACCTAAACGACTTAGCCTCAGTATGGTATTATCTGACTAATTACTTCGTTAATATTGAAAAATGTTGATGATTTGTGCCTCAATATTACTAGCGAACTACTTTTTTGTACGCTATTCGTACTCCAACACTACAAAACTCCAAGTTTATTTAAATAAAAGAAGTTTAATGATTGAAGTAATTTATTTTACATATATTTAGTAAATGATTAATCGTGGGACAGGATGGCAGTCATGAACACAAACATATTTGTTGTGAGTAACATAACGTTTTGCGTTCCTGTTCATAGTACCGACATCAAGTTTATAACTGAATTATGTCCTTATATCTTTATTAAATGATTGTTTATTTTGGATTATTTATGTCTTGTACTAGTTTTGCTTTACTCTACTTATATATACTTTTAATAATACTGCCATATAGCACTATTTAGCTTTCTTATGGATCTAATTGTAGTAAATATGTTAACGAGAAAAAAAATTGTTAGATACGATCTAAGACTTCCAGGA